CAAGCCCCTCCCACTCTGAAACACCTGCCCCTGGGCCCCAGGACCCCTCTCTGGGTTTGCTCCTTGCCCCTCCCTGGGCCTGGGCCCACCTTCTCCACCAGGCCACGCTATCCGAATATTCTCTTCCCACCGCAAGCTCCCTCCCAACACGGCTCATTCCCGGCTTCAGCACAGAGCTCCGGGCCCTCAGACCAACCACCCGCTGGTTCCTTTCCGATGACCTGCAGGCCTCCCACATGCCACAGGCCTGAATCCTCCCTCACCCTCCTCACCCCCACACCCGGTCCCCTTCCCAGCAGCCGCAGTGACTGGGAGCCCAATGTGTGCTGGCGCCAGGCCGCTCCGCTCTGAACAGACACACGGTTGCTCCCAGAATCTCCGGTCATGGAACCAGCCACCCCTGGTGGAAGCAGCGCCCAGGGAGTGCCCTCGCCTCTCCTCGCCCCCTGCCCCTGCCTCCAGGGCCGGATCTGGCGGAGCAGAGCTGGTGCAGGCACGGCGCCTGCTCTCCGGGAGCCCAGGACGCCCATTTCCTGGAAGACTGACAGCACCTAGGGGGTGAGCCGGTGAAGGGGAGCCGCGAGATGGGGGACGACGGCACCCACGCACGAGATGCCGGGCCTGAGCTCCAGGACTGTCAGTGAGGCCTGCCCCACCCGCTCCTACCGTCTACGGGAGATGAGGGGACGGGAGACCCAGTGGCCATGCCGGCCCGCACATCTGCACCGACTGAGGTGCAAACACACAACACCTCACAGTCTCAGGAGGGGAGACGGGAGGTGTGGAAGCAAAGCCAGGAAGAGCGGTGCCAATGACGCCAAGAGGCCTCCGACCAGCAAACCCTGCAGCCAGGCCTGGAGGGCGCTCCCAGGGTCAGTGTGTTTAAGTCGCATTAAGTTACTTTCTCTGGCTTTACTGAGCGGCAGGACGTGTAATCGGCCCTGACTTGAACACCACCATGTTTCAAAACGTTTCTCCAAACAGGGAAACCGGGGAAGGAGAGGGGGAGGGGGCACGTCCACCAGATGGAACGTCTGTGCTGGTGCCCGGAGGAGGGGGAAGGCCTGCCTGGCATGCAGGCGTCTCCGACGACGACGGTTCCGGAAGTTCTTGTTTTGGGAGGAAAGTGGAGTCAGGCCCCGGCAGACACACTTCTGGCCCAGCCCCAGCCCGCACCGAGCCCGCACCAAGCCCGCCCTGCTCCCCACAGGCGGCTGCAGTGTGAGCCCAGGAGGCTGCTGAGCCCACCCTGTGAGGCCTTGGGTTCTTAAAGCGCCGTTGGCGTTTGCAAGGCTCCTGCGTGATGGGAACAGTCGCCATGGGGACCCACAAATAGCCTTCAAGAGCCCGGAGCCTGGGCTTCCTGCCTCGCAGCGTTCATCGCTGTGAGGAGAGGGTCAGCGCTGCGTCCCTGCCCGTACGTCCGGCTGGCGCGGGCCTCCCGTGGCTTCAACACGTCAGCGAGCCGGCCACACGCCTCCGGGTCGCTTTTCGCTCTCGGTTTTCAAAAATCCCGGCAAAACACACATTTGGAAATCGCTCTGGATTCCACAGAGCTTTTTATTTGACCCTTAAACTGCCCGGTACGTGGCAAGGAATGTGTAAACCTACGGAAATCCCGACGCCCGTGGTGTCAGTGGAAGTCGGGGCTCGGTGGGGGCCTGTGGCCTCAGAGCCCCTGGTAGTGCCATTAAGTCGGGGCTGCGGGCCAGACAGCGGGCGGCGGTGGCCTCAGAGCTCCCGGTGTCTCCAGGGGCGAGGGCTGCGGAAGGATCCAGCAGAGGCCCACAACCCGGGCAGCAAGCAGGTCCCAGACGCTCTGGGTCAGCGAAGGGGTGTGGCCTGGGCGCAGCAGTTAACCCCCAGGTGACCCTGTGAGCCGTGCCACCCCATCACAAGCGAAGGGGCTCCGCTCAGCCAGCGTCCTGCCCTGAAAGGCTCTTTGTGGTTCTGAGGCCGGGAGCCGCGCAAACATCTGCGAGGACGTAAGGAGGGGGTGCCAACTGCCTGTCATGGACCCGTCCCCCCGGCCACACAAGCACAGAATAGGCCGCTGCCTTAGGAAGCTCCAAAGAGGGAAAGCTCGCACCAGAGTGCGGCTGCCTGGCCTCCTCCCAGGAGCGGGGGGGTGG